GAGAGGAGATAGTAGCCACTTGAGAAGAGGCCGTGCCAGAAGCTGCAATCACAAATAAGTGAGTATAATTAGGTGAGTACACACATACACTGCTCATTAAAAACCAGTGGAGTATTGAGAAGTTGGGAGGGAAAGAACAATGGGGAAGCAGGTGACTAAATGGTAGGAACACTTCAGACCGGGATTTCCAAGGTGGTGATAAACAGTGATGTATAACCTGCTGGTGGACAGCAAGAGACCAAGACAAGAGTACAATGAGAGTAACAGAGCAATAGTGGACACCCTAGCTGAGGTGGCCAGAAGGGCCCACATGAACAGGGCCAAGTTACTCGTCAAGGGGGGTTTCAACTACAAGGAGACTGACTTGGAAAAAACTGAAGCCACAGGGGGGCCAGAAAAGTGGAGGGCTTTTGATGCTGCAAGCAGTACTAGGAAACTTCAGGGGACCAACATATTGAGACAACCGAGAGAGAGGGAAAAGGGTGAACCAGCAAGACTGGACCTCATATTTCACCTTGGCAGTTCCAACATTGGAGATATTACATATGAAAGGCTCCCCGGCAGTAATGATCACTGATTCTGAGTTTCGAATACAAAGTAGAGCTAACAGTGGAGAAAAAAGTAGCACGAGGAGGGGAGAAAGCCAAATTTCAGTAGAATGATTACACAGGCATAAGGCAATTCCCGCATGAGGTGCAGTAGGAAAGACAACTGAAGGGAAAGACAGTAAATGAAATGACAGAACATGTAGCCCCAAAGTACAAGGAGGCAGAGGAATTTGTACTCAAGGGTAATAGAAATAATGGAAAGAGCAGAACGAGCTCATGGCTCGCTCTGCTCGCCAATTGTACTACAGCATTTGGGAAAAAATAAGGAGCTGAGCCGAAGAGCCAGAAACGAATATGCAACGACAATATGAGCATCGAAAGAAAAATCTAACCCTGGAGTTTAACTTCATCAAGCTTGGAGAAGGACAAAGAAGACCCAAGACAGAGTACAGGCTCGGGGGTTCAAAGGCTGCAGTCCCCATTCAAGAGGATCTGGGGGTGAGTATCATACCGAGAACATCTGAGGCATACCTCAACCAAATAACTGCTGCAGCACATGGGAACCTGTTAAACCTAAGAATAGCATTTCGACATCTAACAAGAATTCATTTAAGATACTGTACACCGTGTACGTCAGGCCAATACTGGGATATGTAGCACCAGTAAGAAACCTACACCTGGTCAATCATGTCAAGAAATTAGAGAAAGTGCTAAAGTTTGCAACAAGAATAGTTCCTTGGCTAAGGGGCATGTCTAATGAGGAGAGGTTAAGGAAACTCACCCTGAAGACATTGGAGGACAGGAGGGATAAGGAGATATAATGCGATCCTTTATTGACAACGTTTCGCCCACACAGTGGGCTTTTTTCAAGCCACAAACAGATCTACCTGGGGTGGAAGGTATGCGAGTATTTATAGTCAGGTTCAGAATGCTGTGGTCAGGTGGAGAATGCTTCATCTGATGATCTACCGAGTGGGGTTATAGAGTCTAAAACCTTGGGTAGCTAGGAAGGGAGATTGGATAAGTTTTGTGAGCAGACCTTCTGCAGTGTTCCTCTATTCCTATGCTCTTATGTGGGATAGCGATGAAGAAGTTTCTTGGCAAGTGGTTCAGCTACGTTATAGAAGCCATTGTTCTGGTTGAAGCTGTTGAATATAGAGATAAGCGATGATTCCAGGATTCTTCGGTATTGAGTGTTGTCTTCTCTGGCGATAAGTCTTGAGTTTCTGTAGTTTATTAATGGTTGTCTGAATTAAGGTGTTGTATACAGGCATTCCTTGTATCGTCAGACCTGCTTGCGTATTGGTGTTCTGAAATACGTGTTGGAGGTCCCTTGATGTTTCGCCCACGTATAATTTGCTGCAGTCATTACAAGGGATTATATATACCCATGCAGAGAATGGAAGCTTGTCCTGTTTATTACTGGTAATGTCCTTGATGGTCGTAGTTGTGGAGGTAGATACTTGGAATGAGGTATTGGAAAAGATGTTGGAAACGCATTTGGCAATGGAGTTGGTGGGGAGGACTATGTATCTCTTCTCGACAGTGTCTTCTCTGGGTGTGTTGAAGATGTTTAATGCCCGTCGTCTGCAGTCTCTGCAGAAGTGACGAGGATAGTGGAGTTTAGAAAATACTTGTTCAATTATAGTGCATTCTTCCTCAAGGAACTCATTGCTGCAGATTCTGATCGCGCGCAGGAAGAAGCCTATCATTACACCACGTTTAGTTTTGGTGTCGTGATGAGAGTAGAAGAGAAGATCGTTTTGGTTGGTGGGTTTTCGATAGACTTTAAAACGAAGTTCGTGGTCAGCTTTGCAGAGAAGAACATCAAGGAAAGGAAGAGTGTTGTCGTCTTCTACTTCAAGTGTGAACTGGATTGAGGGCTCGACCTGGTTGAGCTTGTCTTGGAGAGCTTGAACGTTGAAGCGTCTGGGAGTTATGAGGAGAATGTCGTCAATGTAACGGAGCCAGGTGACAGACGAAGGAATAATGGTGGAGAAACGCTCGGCTTCCAGATGTTCCATGTATAGGTTCGCCAGGACGACACTGAGTGGCGAACCCATGGGTAGTCCAAAAGTCTGCTGAAAGAGGTGATTTTCGAAAGAGAAACACGTAAATCCAACACATAGTTCAACATGATCGATGAAATCGCTGGCTGGAATAGGAAGATCAAGTGAATCGTCAATTTTCCTGCGCAAGAAATCGATGGCTTGTGTAGTAGGTACTTTGGTGAATAGGGAAGTTACGTCAAGGCTGGAAAGTTTCTTGTTCCTGATGTTGATGTTGCGGGAAAGCGATTGAGAAGATCACCGAGTGTTTGAGATGTGCTGGACTGGTAATGTCCAAGAGTTTAGAGAGGTGTTTTGTGAGAATTCCTGAGAGTTGGTGGGAAATACTGCCTATTCCCGAAGATATGGGCCTCAATGGGATACCAGGCTTGTGAGTTTTTGACAGGCCGTACATTCTGGCAGGTCTAGGGTTGCTGTGTATGGTGTGCAGAAGTTTCTTCCCTTGTTCTGAGTCCCTCAGAATGCGGCGAGTCCTTTGAAGAAAAGTTTTAGTAAGGTTGTCCACTTGGTTAATTGTGAGGGGTTGTAGGTATCTGGGTCATTAAGGAGATTGAGTATTTTGTTCCTGTAATCGTCAGTGTTCATGATAACAACACCACCTCCTTTATCAGCGGTGGTGACCCTGGTGGTCGTGTCCTCTGCTAAAACCTTGAAGTGCAATGATTAACGTCGAGGTATGACTGGGAGCTGGTGTTTGAGATGGTGCTGAGATGTGCTTGAAGATAACCTTTTGAAGTCGGGTCCTTTTTGTCTAGTTTTTTCATTTGTTATTTAAAACCATAGTGACTCATTGACATATACTATATAGAAGCCGCTTGTAAGCTGAGTATTTCTGGCAAATTAGGTCAGTTTGTCCAGGATGCGACCCACCCAGTCACTAACATCAGGTGCCCATTTTAAACTGATGGGGTGAACAGGACAGGGACACAGGTGTCTTATGAAAAAAACGTCCCTAATGTTTTCAGCTTACGGAGGAGATTCGAACCCCGGACCTCAAGAAAACTAAATAACTTTAGGACTAAGGAAATGAGGTTTAATGCTTGTGTATACTGAAAAGGATTTTAAAATTCGTGAGGAAATTTTTAAAGTATCAGAGAAAGAGATTATGCGAGGAGGAACAAAATTATTACTAAATTAAAATCATAGGGGACGCTAAACCCGTTGGATTATTTACGCCTGTGTGTTTGGGGGGGGGGTGGAAGGTACTCAGACTCATTTCAGGGACTGGAGCACAGGATCCAATTCGTAGATCAGGCCCCTCACCAGCGTCAAGGAACCGTGTGAGAAGGTGATGAATAAACGAAAAGGTTAAAGTCCCTAAGAAAGTATAAGAACTGAGTTAAGAAAATGCTAATGAATTGTGAAATTAAAATGTAGAAGGTTAAAATGAGAAGGTGTGAGATATGTTGTTAAGAAGTGTGAAAGTGACAGTTTGAAAGTAAGATTAAAGAAGGTGTGAGAAGGTGTGAGAAGGTGTGAGAAGGTGTGAGAAGGTGTGAGAAGGTGTGAGAAGGTGTAAGAAGGTGTGTAAGAAGGTGTGAGAAGGTGTGATGAAGGTGTGAGAAGATGTGAGAAGGTGTGAGAAGGTGTAAGAAGGTGTGAAAGGTGTGAGAAGGTGTGAGAAGGTTGTAGAAGGTGTGAGAAGGTGTGAGAAGGTGTGGTGTAAGAAGGTGTAAGAAGTGTGAGAAGGTGTGAGAAGGTATAAGAAGGTGTGAGAAGGTGTAAGAAGTGTGAGAAGGTGTAAGAAGGTGTAAGAAGGTGTAAATGACTAACAAGGATAAAGAAAAAGTTATAACGAAGGCTGAAAACACAGAATAGACCGAGATAAGGAAGACGGAAGATAAGATAAACTCACATAAGGTCATAAAAACACATAAACGAATAGATAAACGAGTTTTTCATAATAAACACAAGTAACAGGAAGCCTATGTTGTAAATTGAGAAAATAAATGTGGGGCAGTGAGATACTACATTTATTCATCACGGCATAGTAAATTATTGGTATACCAGGAGTATACCTGGAGGGTACTCAGGGGTCAACTCCCCCGCTGCCTGGTCCATGACCAGGACTCGTGGTGTGTCAGGGCCTGATCAACCAGACTGTTGCTACCGGTTGCATGTAAACCGACTTGAGATGCCTTTCCAGCTCGCTCTTGAAGACAGCCGGGGGTCTATTGGTAAGCCTCCTTATGCATGCTGGAAGGCACTTGAACAGTCTTGGGCCTCTAACACTTACTGCATTGTCACTTACCGTACTCAAGGCAGCCCGGCTTTTCATTGGGGACGTTGGAATGACTTAAAAAACAATATACGGTAAGAAATATCGCGACTATAGTTGTGACTGCAGCTACACTAAGGTAATTATAAACTAGTAATTACTTACTTGTCATAGTTGATCATTCTCTCGCCTCGGTACCAGAAAACATAGACTGGAGGTTCTGTGGCGCTCTTAAGTAAACACACCAGCATCAACGACGACCCGTGGTGGATGTACCTCTCAGGTCCCCCCACGATCTCTGCGTGTGCCTCTGTGTGGGAGTAGAAGGTGTTAGTAGTGTGGGGGAAGTGGTGGGTGCTAGTGGTGTGGGGAAGTGGTGGGTGTTAGTGATGTGGAGAAGTGGTGGGTCTTAGTGGTGTGGGGAAGTGGGGGTCTTAGTGGTGTGGGGAAGGGTTGGTGTTTTGTGGTGTGGGGAAAATGGGGGTGTTAGTGTGTGGAGAAATGGGGGTCTTAGTGGTGTGGGGGAATGGTGGGTTTAGTGGGGGTTGGGGGGGGTTTGGGGTTTGTG